CCGAGAGAGGCCCACGGCAGGGGATAGAGAGGCAGCGGGATGGCGCCTTATGTCCCCGGGACGGCGAGTCTATGGCTACGCGTGTGAAGCACAACATAGTGGTGGGCGGAGTTAGGAGCTCTGCCCATCTGGGGTAAGTCCCGATTCATCCCGTCTAAGACGAACCTCCAGTGGAATTTAAGAATGGTGACTGCCGCTGGCCCTCTCTCCTTTTTCTAGTTGGCATCAGAATGAAGAGGCCGACAGGACGGCGACAATCCTGTTGGTTTCTGCACCGTTTGGACTTTTATGGGACTTGACCTCCACGGCTGAGGCCATTGCATTTTGGCTGTATAGTTTTAATTACTTTTAATGTGTTTAACTTCATGTTCCTGCCTGGCCAGAGTATTTTTTTTTACCTATTTAAATATAATAAATTATATTTTAATCATACAGTTTAAATTGTGTGCTTTCCCTTGGCGGCTCCACTGCTCTGCCCGTTTTCAGGAAGGTTTCCTTCCTTTTTTAAAAACAAAAACAAAACACCAACCATCTTGGAAATAAAATCAGCCTTCCGCTCCGTTACAGAAGAAGTTTAAGCCACCCCTGACCATCGCTTCCAAGGGTGCAGTTTAGCGTCTTTTTTCCCCCCTAATAATTGACATATTCTTGGTGAAACGCCTGCTAATAATGCAGCAAATTAAAGTAATTTCATGGATTTGAGATGTGGTCAAAATCATATTTATTTCTCTATCACTGAAATGTTTTCTTAACCTAATCAAAATAATTTATGTATTGATGAGGAGCCCTTTCAGATGAGAAATTATGCCTTTTGGCCAGTAAATATGGATTATGTTTAATCCAGATGCATTTGGTGCAGCGAAACCAGAGGCAGCAATTACCTGCCGTATTTTTGTTGAGCCCAGCGCTCAGCGTAGTTCTGTAAGTGATTTACTTTTTCATTTCTAAAATTTCTCCGCCATCTAATGGAGAAGGTTGGGATTGCATTCAGGTCAAAACCACTGCTGTATTCACTGTTTCCTGTAATTATGAGACTTGGAATCTAATTTATAATAATAATCTTCGCATTTACTCATTTCTGGCATAAGAAGTATTCACTAAATTAATAGCCTGATAAAACATTTTTGATAACCTGTAAGTTTTACAACAGTATAATTTGAATTTCTATTAACTCATTTAAGGAAATAGTAGGAGAGGAGGAAATGTTTTTATGGCTGTTGTTTAACTAAAAATGTTTAAAAATTACATTTCAGATATTCATCAAAAACAGTTTTTATTTTAGTTGTTACTTTGTAACCTGAAAGGATGCTTAAAAATAACTAAAATGCTGTTTTCTCAAAATAAATGTATTTGTATTTTATTACTGGAAATTTTTACTTCGCAGCTTAAAAATGAATTGAAAAATAAGTACAAAACAGTATAGCACAAAGTCATAAAAGTGCACTGATATTATGGAGTGCCAGGACTGCCATAATGAATTAATTAAATACACCATTAAATAATTAATTAAATGTGTCAATAATTAATTAAATGTGTCAATAATTAATTAAAATGTGAAATACATAAATAATTAATTAAATGTGTCAATAATTAATTAATTAAATGTGTCAATAATTAATTAAAATGTGAAATACATAAATAATTAATTAAATGTGTCAATAATTAATTAATTAAATGTGTCAATAATTAATTAAAATGTGAAATACATAAATAATTAATTAATGTCAATATAATTACTGTGTCAACACATTTATATTAATTAATTTATATTCCAATTTTAATTAATTATTGCCACATTTAATTAATTATTTAATGGTGTATTTAATTAATTCATTATGGCAGTCCTGGCGTTCCATACACTGGAGAGGCACCTGTTTTATATAAGAGAAACTCTGTGTCTCTATGATCTTTCCGCTCCGTTACATGTACAGGGAAATGGCCCCCTCTGCCTTGGTCATGGATACTTCTTTAAGACACTGTGGCTAGCCTGGCCACGCCCCACAGCTTACGTATTAAACAGCTGTTAAGACGTGAAACCGGTGGTGGTTTGATCAGAGGACGGCAGAGGTTTCAGGATGGTGGAATAGGTTGTAATAATGCAGACCTTCTCTGGATGAGTCATGTGCTCTTCTTTAACTGTCAGATTTATCTAGACCACGTGGATTTATGCACACACAACCCACAGCAGTTATTAATAGGATCAGTTTTGCTGATATCAAAAACATGTTGATTTTCCTAAATTGTAATGCCATTTTTGAAGAGAAACACGTGTAAAACCTGCACACACTGTTTTATTAGTCACTCAGACTATCATTGATCATTATTGAAAGAAATATGTGTTTAAAAAATGTCCATTGTTAGTATAACACTCTTCTCACATTGGCACATTGCTGGGAGTGCATCATTTCAAAATTTACCACTAGCCCAATCTGGCCCTGACACTTCACAGTAGTGACACCATAAAGTAGTGCTCTCAGTGCATTTTTTGTCAGTTCGGCCTGCCATGGCATTATACAGAATTTCGTTTGAAGAGAGAAGTGAAAACGGCTTCACTGAATTTCAGCAACAGTTTATTTTTTTACACAAAACAGTGTGAATGCAAAGGAATGCAGTGAAATGCACATATGTTGTTGTTGTTTTCTTAAATGGCTCAATGAAAAACTGAAAAATAGATATTATGTAAAAGCATTTACAAATTAAATCAATATGTAAATTTAAGACAGATTGTTTAATGGATAGTCATGCAGGTCCTCGTTGACAGCAGTAGCTTGTTCTGTGAAAACAACTTTCTGGCTAATAGTTGTGTTCCGCCCAGTGTCTCTCTCCCTGTTCTTCCTGCACACATTTTCACAGTGCAAAAGATTCAACAGATGCTTTCGCAACTTCTGTGAGATCATATACAGCAGAGGGTTCATGCAGCAGTGAGAATAGGCAAGCATTTCACAAATACGAGACGTGATAGCCAACCGTTCCTGTGTTTTACAATCTTTGGGTGTATAGAGAGAATTGATTAAAAACATAATATGGTATGGCCCCCAGCAAATGAAAAATGCTGCAACAATACACAACAGCACAGCTACAGTCCTGTGCTTCTTTCTGTTTAAAGCTTGTAAAACCTTCTTGAGGATGGCAGAATAGCAGAAAATAACAATGGCAAATGGGAGGAAGAATAGCAGTGACACTTGGAGGTGTTGCCCGAGTTTGTCTTCAGATGTCTCACAATAGGTATAATTCTCCCAGTTTCCCACCTTTGTGCTCACAGCTTCCCTCAGGGATGCAGAGATGCTGATGACCCAGGCAGCTACACAAGCACCAATTGCGTACTTCTTTCTATCTAGTTTGTTCAGCTGGTTGTGCAGCACCACAGTAATGAAACGATCCACTGTCATCGCAGTCAGCAGAATGACACTGCTGTACAGACCAACAAAGAATAGAGCAGTTATGAATTTGCAGGAAAGGTCTCCAAAGACCCAGTGGTGTAGATAATCAACAGCCCAGAATGGAAGTGTGATGGTGAAGATCAAATCAGAGCAGACCAGGTTCAGGATGAAAATATTGGTGATACTTTTCAGGTTCTCGTAGATGAAGAGAACACATAAGAGGAGGCTGTTGCCTATGACACTGATGATGAAGATCAATATGAACAAAGTGCCAGTAAAGGTTGGAAAGTTAACCTCACATAGATAATGTTCTTCTTCAGTTGTGTAGTTGCTTTCCATTGTCAAGTTTCTATAAAACACAAACACAAAACTAGATTTTTAAAATGTAATTAAACACATTAACTAAGCAGTTTTCTTTATGGGAATTTCTTTTTTATATATTTTACTTTTTGTATGATCTGTAAAACACAGAGAGTAATAAAGCACCAAATTAGGAGAAGAGGCACAGCAAATACTGATCAACTTACCCCAAGCATCAGCCATCAATTTCCTGTGCTGGAAAGGTTTTGGTGTTCTTAAGTAAACTTGTAGTTCCTCTTTTTAAGCTAGAGTCAGAGCACTGCCTTAAAGGAAAGCACACATTTTTTTTTAACATAGTTTGTCATACTTTTTACTGACAAATAACTGTCTACAAGCATCCTGCATCAGTCGTACCAGACATCAGAATATAATATAACCTATAAAATCTGACAAGAGCTGTGTTGAAACTTTAAAGGTTAACATTTTGAAAGCTCCAGTTTGTATTTTGCTTTTTTGTTTAATTTTTTTTTATGTTGTTGTGTTGTACTATTTGTAAGGCAAACCATGATGTGACAGTATTAAACTTCAGTGCACAAACATTTCATATTTTAAGATCTTTAAATATTTCTCCAGGATATCAGGATATCTTGTTTATGTGTTATGCCTTCAACATTAGTCAAGAAAAATATAATGTAAATTTAAGTAAAAGGAATGAAAGTCAGACAGTGTTGACCTGACTCTCAAAATGGACCATTTCAAATGAAATGTGTTTAAGCACAATTGTATGACACCTTGTTCTGATGTTAATCTATTAGACCTACGAATAACACATGAAGCAAGTCATTGCGGGTTATTGAGTCAGCAAAAACAAATGCATTTGAATCCAAAGGAGGTCTGCACAGTCAAACTTGAGATAAGCAAATGTTGACCTTTATTGTAGCTTAATGGTGCTTAAGAATAACAAAGTCAAAAAAACACTTGAGGGGCAACACGAAGAAAGTTCAACAAAGCCAGCCTTTCTTTTAGTTAGCTGCCTTAACAAAACCTAAAAGAGAGATGAACAGATACCCGTCAGAGATAACAGGTATGGATGCATATCAGCTTTTTCTGTTAGACTTTCTACTTGTGATTCTGTGCAAATGTAACAGGGTCATAAATCACATCTTGTTATAATTACACAAAATGTGTTATTAATACCTGACTGTTAGGACCTCCAAGCCTGTAGTTATGTTCATTATCAGTTAGGGCCCCTCCTCATTGTTCTTCTTCTTTGGTGCAACCCTATAAATACAGTGTACCCCTTTTGCCTCTCCCCTTTTCTATAATTCCCCTGTGGGAGAGGTTGGTGTCATTTCTTTCCAAAACTGTAAAACACACATATAATTCATATTTAGCCACCCAGATGTTTCTGATTGCAATTTTAGTTCAATTATTGTCATCATTATGCCTGTTTTTTGTTAGATGCTATAAATGTGTAGTATGTGTGTGCCGCATATGTGTTCTAGGAAACGTGAATGCTAGCATGAATAGATAATTCTTGCTAGCTTGGAAGTTGTGGTGGGTTGAGCTAACCCTCTTCCCCGCTGTTTGTATTTGGTTATAGGAGCTGGAGTGGGCAAGCTATTTATTTGGAGGTCTTTCTTTCTTTTACCTTTTATCGTCAGGATCACACACAACCCAGAAACACACTGGTTACACTCACTCACAAAAAGGGGCACTTTGTGGATCATGTGACTCTTCTTCTGCACAAAATTATCCTCATGAGCGCTACCTATTCCAAACTGGAGACATCATCATCATCATTAAAAAAAATATGACAGCAAAAGGCAACTTGGCTGCAAATAAGACTAAAATAAACAATTCAAGCTAATACTTTCAACACTATTTGTGCTATCTGTGCTGCTTTCTATTTGTCAGACAATCTGTGCTCTGAAACTCTGAATACATTTAAGCATTAAAGTTTAAATCTATAAAGGAAACATCAAAATCACTTTCGTTTGTGGGCAATAAATTAATATTATATAGCAGCAGATTAGAAACATAAGAACATTTACACATTTTCTGCTTCATTAAATCAGTATCAGTATATAATATTTAATGTTACAGCTGGGCTTCATTCAGAGAGTGTAGGTATGCTTTATTCCTAAGTTAGAGAAGCTATATACAACAACAACAAAAAAATCTGTAATCACGTGGCACCTACAGCCATTTTTAAATCAATACTTAGAAACTTATAAAATAAACTATTCCCAACTAGGTTATGTATCCAGCACAGGTTACCACATTTTAGGGGGGTGTTCATACCCTTTACTCAAAGTTCAGTGCTGAGCTGAGTTGTTGCGGTGTTGTTTTTCCTCATTTAAAAAAAGAGTAGCAGATTTTTTTCCATTTCTGGTCTAGCACAGTTTAGCAAAGAAAACCATGTAAATAAGTAAAATATTACAATATCCCTACATTACCAACCTCTAGAAGTTTAGACAGAGAAAACATTCAGTGCCACAATGTCGATATGAAGTGAAGCTAAATTCTCCCTAGACATTATGCCTACCAGGACTGTTTCATCTGATACCCTGTCTCTGAACTTATCATGCAGGGTCATTTTCTTTATTTAAACAGAACCAACCTTGATGACAAAAAATAATAGCAATGGCCTGTTTTTCCTAAAATGAAACCATTATGAACACAAACAACAAACATTGTAGCTTTACTGTATGTTGAATTAGTGGCTATGTGGCGTGAGGTAAGCAATGCATTTTGAGGAAGCCAGCACATTTCTCGGTGATGAATTTAAATACCACAGTAATGCTGCCTCTACTGGAACACCGTCAGACATGCATTTCCATGTTTTACAATGTCATCGGGTGAGACTATTACACTCTAAATTTAATCTGTGTACTTTTGAAATGTTACGCTGTGTTCTATGAAAGTCAGTTCTTTTTGTCTGTTCTAAATAAAGAAGTTTTCTTTTCAGTTGCTATGCAGTTTAGTAAGAATTTTCTCTCTCTCTCTCTTTTTTTTTTTGCATATTTAAGTGTTTTTCCCATGACATTTATGAATATATAAAAGAAATGAAGAAAATAATGAACTGTTAAGCTTAATGTTCCTTTCAAAATTAATTTAATGTTGAACTAAAATAACTCCCAACTACCATGTGTTGAGAAATGAAGGTTGAAAAGTGGAGAATGTAAAGAGTGCAATTTTTTTAGTTGACTACCCTCACAGCCACTATAGATCCAGGGAGGGAACAAGATAAGACTTAGCTGATTATAGGAAGATAATCAAGACAGGCTAAAAATCAACTTTCTTGTTGCCTTTCCCGTTCGGCACTGTAGCAATCAGAATTATTTTCTGAAGACCAACAAAAAAGCCCAATGGATTTATTTTTCCAAGTGGATTGTTATGGCTTTGTCATACTGGTCCACTTGATTGATCTTTATTCTTGTTATTTATTTATTTAAACTTTAGAGTTATTACAAATGGAACAGACATGACTGGGGGATAGGAAAGGGAAAGACATAGACAAGAGAAGTTCAAGAAAACAAGAAGGAAAGAAAAACAGAGGTGAGAGGGACGGTGAGAAAAGACACTAAAAATCTGCTGGATCACCTACTGGAACGGGGGGAAGGAAAACAAGCAAAAACAGAACAACAGAGTAGGGAGACCACAGCAACAACCTAGATAAGTATAAGTAACAGTAAATAATCAATATTGAATGTTACTGAGCAGCACGTAAGTCTGTGAGCACCGTGTATACACCTATGTGCACGCAGACACAAACATGCATTCCCACCCTCATGCACACATATACAAATAGTCAGCATTCGCCCAATGTGGAGACAAACAGAAATGAACACTGTACACACACTCACACTCCCCAAACATACTCTATACCCCCAGGTCCAGGTAGCATTACCCCCAGAGGGGCAATCCACCCCCAGACCCAGGAGATGTTGCCCTTGGCCCTGTGGTGAAGACAAGCAGACCGCCCCTGGTCCTACAGCAGCAGGGAGGCCCAGCATCCCAGACCCTGACCAGGCCGCTGACTCCTCCTCCTGCTACTTGTTCAACAGTCCTGGGTCTTCTGTGTTGTATTTTTCATTTCATTCAATGTTTCCACTTTGGACAGTCCCAAGTTTGGACTGCAAGCATGCAGGCCAGTTCAGTAGGAAGGACTCATTGTGTGCTGTAATAGATGCAATACACATTTTAACATAGTGATTGTGGGCATGTTACTCTAAAACTAAAACATGATAACCTGCATTTATGGATGGTGCGATGAACTGTGTTCATAGACCGTTGCAAAATATTGAAAAAAGTATTGTCTCACACATCAAAATCATTGTTTTCAGGTATTCAAATCAATTCCACATTTCCACAAGTTCAAATCACTTCCACGGATGTGGAAAATCAAACATTCAATATATTTTATATCTTCTTTAGGTTTCTGAAAAGATATGGACTTATGAGATTTGTATGTTATTACATTCTGATTTTATCTAAATATTCAACCTGTAATATCACAGACATTTAGGCATTTTGTTTGTTCTAATATGTGGCATATTATTAGTGAAATAAGCGGTAATGAATCAGCATACTCAAATAAATGCATAACTCATACTAGTCCCACGAGTGGGTTGCTTTGTCCTTTTCTCAGTTGCACAATCTTGCGCCATCCAACGGGAAAGGTTGGAGCTGCGTGGATGACCTGGTGCATTCACTTGTTCCCCGTAATCGTGAAACTTCAATGCAGATTAAGATCAGATAAGATAAGATAGATCTGTAATGTCACTGTTACCAGAAACAGAGTTTGGCATCTCTCCATTTGTAGGTGCAGGTTTTTGCATTCAACATTCTTTGGATAGAAGAGTGAGATAGACAGAGGATGCTCAGGTTGTTATTAATGTGAATGTAGGTGCAGGTGAAAAAAAGAGCAAACTCTCATAACGTCTTCTAACAGTTAGAAATTTGAGTGTATGATTGAGTTAAGATACATCCTGGCAGTGTGTGCGATTTCTTTTGCTCTTTATATCTGCAAGACGATTATGATG